TGGCGTGTTCAGTGACTGCACGTCCACAAGCATGACCTTACACTTTGTGGGTGCAAAGTGCATACCGAAGGACGGGATGACTTTGGTCAGTTCATCCAAGAAAACTTGCGCCTTCTCCGCCTCTTCGAACATGAGAACGATGTCGTCTGCGTATTCCAGATCGACAAGGTTTTCTTCACAGGCTACTTGAACACCAGGGTTTTGGAGACCCTCCACCGTTCGTCTCATTATTTCATCTATCACGAAGTTAAGAAGAATGGAGAGAGTGGGGATCCCTGACGGACACCACTTTGTGTACGGAAACTTTTGGAGAGCTCTTCGTACACTTACACACGTCTGGAAGTTTGAGAATACAAAGAACGTATTATGTTTAGAAACTTCTGGGGCATTTCTTGGTAGGCGAGATCAACAGTGCAAATTGACGGAGTAGGCAAATGTTTCAACACTCCCTTACCACAATTCCTCCATGTCGATTTCCATGCATTGCTCGGTTGAAATGTGAGCAGGTATGAAGCTTGAACTTCAAAACCTGGCAAGGTTTACTGTGATTTGGGTAGGGACAGAATAAACAGGAAACCAACAATTGACTCTGCATAAGAGCGAGATATCCTATTCATTGGAGCAAACTTTTGTACTGGCCGGCTAATCCACTGCACACTTGAAGGTGTTTATCAATGAATAGCATGCGCAACTCTGAAAACTGCAGAGCAAGGACAGCAAACCAGGTAGTACCGGCATTCCCAACTTACTGGGATGCGGTGCGGGAACATATCAAGCAATGTGGCGCACAGACCAACGGTTGATAGATTCAGACACTCATGCGATTATGCGGAGTGTTCGCCGGAAGTCAGTGGTGCCTGCCAGACAGAATATCAGACGTATGAAGTTAGTGCAAACTCTTCGATATTCCGCGACCTGTTTTGGCATCCTGAGGCTCATCAGGCAGCTGATGTAATCCTGGTAGATTCAGCAGAGCCCGAGTTCCAACAACTCGATTTGTGAATACCATCTACTCTCTACTTCATAAAATGGTCGTATATGTACGTATTAAGTATGTATATTGAGTGCCATTGACTGGGTGGCACTTCGAAAATAGTCCGCCAGCAAGGTCATCTGAGTTGACCTGCTTTCCAAGAACAGTCGATTTACATTCCACTTTCACCAGATTTATCAATCCCACTGTCCAGATTCTCCAAAATCTGGTCTGGTTGCAGTGGAGGTCACTTTGAAATTACCGTGAAAACAAATGGATGAAACGTAAACCTGCAATTGATTGGATAATCGGGTGAGTATCATGAAGAAACGTAATCATCTCGGTGATATATAATTGGGAAAAGTTAGCAGACCCGAAATTCGACAAATCTATTCATGTGGTTTGTTCTCCTCACACTCGCCGGTTGTTTCCTGACTGGGAGTGTATCGTATCCGTAAGTAGTGTCCAATAATCCAAAGACGATTTGTAGACTTTCGGAAGAATCGGATAAACTCGAGCGCGACAAGCGGGCGGTGATCAGAATTCCATTAATTCCTTGGGGCGGGGTAAGTGCCGACTTGTACTGCTCTGGTCAATTCATCAGGCGCAATATTTGTGCCCAATCACCATTGGTGAAACCGTGTTTCGAATGGTGCTTGACACCGGTTCACCATCGATTTGGGTACCTTCGGATAATGTGGATAGAAATCTGTGGGTTGGGAAAAACCTATTGAGTATGGATCGGACAACTTCTCTGCAGGTCAGCGAGGAAGCATTCCATCAGCGATTCTCATCATGTGAGGTGATTGGCGTCAAAGCAACAGTCCATATGAAAGTGAATTTATCATGTTACAATTAATTGCCAACCATTGTAGCTCGGAGATACGCTTATCAGAAACGTACCCTTTGGTCTGGTGAAAGAAGGATCAACGAGCATAGCTCGTGAAAGGTTTGACGGAACTTTGGGTTTGGGGCGTAGGCGTCCGCTTCCGGAGAACACAGACCCTATTTTTCAATTTGTTCATCGACAAGGATTGATGGGTGCGCAATTTGGCTTCGACTTCCAAGAGTAAGCACAAAATCCGGCGTTTTATTCCCTTTTATGTCGGATGAGAAGTTGCTCGTATGTAAAAAACACCCATTTGCGAACCAGTTTGGTCATCTGGAGCACAACTAAACCTCTCGTTTATGATGTTACTAAGGTTGACGGAAACTCGAGCACCTGATGAGCCCCAAGAAAAGCGGAACCGGTCGTGGGGTGTCGAACAATTGTCAGCAACCTTATGAGTAGTGCATTGCGTCCATGCTGTTATTGTGTTTAGGACGTGAACATCATCACCAAAGTTCATAAACTCTTGGCATCCGTATTTCTTTTCTATCTTATGCAGCAGCGGTGCCTCATTCATGATGGGGGACCATGTGGAACAAGCCATCTCCACTGCTGATATGACCTTCGTGAATGTCATTGAAGGACCTTTTTGGGAAACGCGGGCAACCTGGTAAGCAAGGAACCTTTCTATCGAAATTATGTGAATGACTGACTGAGTGATCCTATGCACTCCCATCCCGGTTTCTTTCTGTAGCATATCTATTTCCGTCTTGAGACTTAACACCGAGGAACACAGAATGATCTTCGACACAGGGACCCACACAATCGTTCTGCCGGAGACTATTCACATGGCCATCAACCAAGTACTTGGTATTTCGACGCTGGTGGATGGATCGTATGAATTCGATTGTGAAATGCTGCCATCCATGCGCCCGATTGCTTCCTTCATTCAAGAAAAGCGTTTCATGGATGGATCGTATGAATTCGATTGTGAAATGCTGCCATCCATGCGCCCGATTGCTTTCCACATTCAAGAAAAAGCGTTTCATATTACGCCGACACAATACACAAAACAGGTAGGCTATTCTCCCACTGATAAACATCGGACGGACTAAACACCCTCCCCATACATTCGGTGGAGAAAAGTTAAAACTGGATGCAACATTTTGATTTGCCAAAAAAACGCCTGTGAATTTTACTCAAGAGACAGTCACCGGTGGTCGGTGACTGATTTTGACCCGCAAGCTACCAAACAGAAAAGTGTTCGACCAGTGACCAGACTGTCGTGGGTTAGAGTTTAGGGAGATGCGCGTTCGATGTGATGATCCTCAACAAGCATAATACAGCTATGCAGTGCTTCTAGGCTTTCCATCTTAGAATGCCTTCACTGAAAGCATGAACTCTCTACCGGATACGATCAGAATCCCCCCACCTTACATCACCTTACATCTTTATTACAAAAGGATAGTGTGACGTACGGCATGCCGTCAGCGATCGATATTATCGTTGAGAATACGGTAGGTAAATGTCCGGGACTAACCCACTGTCGCAAGCAGGTAGAAGAATAGGTAGATAGATTGGTGGGAAAAGATGAACACGTTTTAAGCAAGAATACAATATTTTGTGATGTACCTTGTGCAATGATCACGTTCCCCTATTACCTCTTCTCTCTCGTACAAACTAAAGAACTGCCGTTTTTCCACAGACCAGAACTAATGGAGGCACGAAATGTTATACCCGTTTTATTACCAAGCCCGCCGGCTTCCATGTGGGTATAATACTGGGAATGCCATTCCTACATTCATTTCAACTAATATTTGATGACGAGGCGGGCAGAGTTGGTTTGGCCCCACGCCACGGAAAGTCCTCGATTGTTTGAACGGGACGGAGAGGCAGAACAGAAACTACAACAGAGCACACCAGAAGCAGAATAAACGACTTTACCAACAGTCCCATGTGTTTTCAGCGAAATTCAGGGGAATGAAATTAAAAGTCTAAAAACCTGGGTCCGCTTTGAGCGTTTCGAGTGTCCGTTTGTTCCTTTTCTTTATATGAATGTGTGGTGATGTCAATATAGGTATGATCCAGCCCCAATCGCCCCTCAATCACCACACCAGGTCCGCGAATTTGGCTCTAGTTCGATACTTTCCGCAGGTGCTGTCAATTCCGCGATCTGCCGCAAAATGAAAGTCCGGCTAAGCCGTCTAACGAACACTGTGGAGCTTCAGGTTGACCGGCTTAAATTACTCTCACAAGTTGTTGCTAACTGTCTGAGGAGAACTGGATTTTGGTTCCTCCGAACTTAGACACCAACAATGTAGAGATTTCACCAACCATCTATCTCCTACGCAAGGTTCCAGTGGTGTTGCTGATCAACACATTGACCGATTGGTGTATTAAACGATAATGTACACAACTGAGTCGCTTGTGTCGGTCACAAGTTCCCGCTAAACTTCAGACAAAATAATTTGTTCATTCGAAAGGGGGAGAACTATCATCCTCGTTCTAACTAGTCGCCAATCTATGGGACGAGTGAATGGTTTATCGATTACCCGGGCAATCCTGATAATTACCAACGTGCGCAGGTTATTAGATCGCGTAGCAATTGCAATTGGAAAATAGACCATCGATCGCACGGACCGTTGACGTCAAAGGGTGCGCAGTTCCCAGCCTCACTTCATAATCAAGAAGCTGTGTGTCTGATTCACCGGGATGATTTGATCGACCCGGGAAACAAAATAGTTCAATTGACCGGACATCTTTGGGTTCGACAAGATTTCCACGAAAATAAATGTTTATTTAAAAACTATATCTCGACAAGACAGTGCTATACTACTACTCTTTTTACGCGTTACTACTTGAGCGCTTCCGACAGTATACAACCTACCAGTACAGTTCTATGCTGCAAATGCGCTTTAAAAAACTACATCTATTGATCATACACACGGACTTAATTTGCGGCGGCATGGGTGTTTCGTCCCGATACTTCTACTTGGAGGTATTTTTAACCAACACTGCATTCCAGGTGACATTATTCAGACGGTTTTATGACTCTGCTTATTGGTCGCTGATTTGTGGACACGATTTATATACCCCCCAAAAGCCGTCAAATTAGGGAAAACCCATCGGATATGTTCTATGCACCCACTTACAGATTGTGCTAGTCTAGATGTGCGTGATTCCTCGTGAGGTTTTTTCGTATGACAGGATCGGAAGTACACACGAAAGTACAATGTGAGTGTGACCCCAAGAATGTGATGCAACTCACATTCCGTTAAATCTGCCCATTCAGTACTAACTTTGGTAGCCAGTATCACAATAACTGCGCACTTGATTGGGCTCGTTAAGCCCAAGCTGAAAAAAATTCCAGTGACCATGTTGAGCTACACAGCTTCGGTTGACATCCCTATGGCTGTTTGCGTCAGAACGTCCTTAGAAGAATCTAGCCAGGCTCATCCTAGCAGACACCATTTCTTCACGAAACACGTAAGACAGTGTCAGGGTGCTCGTGGTTCGGGAAAACTGCAACTGATGACTTTTCTTAGACTTTCAACACCTCTTGACTAGCTGTCGGTGCACTTTTGCGTACTAAACGATAAAGACACCGGCCAGAACTTGTCGAGGTTTTCGTATAGATGTGCCCCATTTCAGTTCCTCATTGGTTCATATTGTTCGCAATCTGAAGTTATCTGCTTTTTGAGTCGGCTCATACAGTTGTGATTGAAATCGTTGACCATGTTGCATCCATTCAAGGACATCGTAAGCAGTCATTAATTAACGCCTATTCGGATCGATTAAATCTTTAGAGTCTGAGTTTGCGAGTCCATAAAAATACTATTCTTTTGCAACTTTGTGCATCAGCAACACAAAATGTCCACCAATGAGTGTGTAGGTGTGATGAAATTCGGAGGTACCTGGAACTGTTTGCCAAGGGTAGCATCTGGTTCGTAGCAGACAATGGACGCCTGACAGTTGTCAAGGTCGAATCGGTATAATATGTAAAGCAAAGCAAAGCGAAGCAAAGAAAAGCAAAGGGAAGCAAAGCAAATCAAAGCCTTTAATCAAACACAGAACCACGTGTGGATTTTGTCGAACCATTAGGCTAGGGAGCAAGAGCAACAAAATCCCCAAAAGGCGTGATATTTACAAAGAACCAAAGGAAGAGAATTTGAAGTGTCAGGGCTCGCTACTCAGTCATTCGTTGTTTCCAGGTTCTGCCAAAGATCCAATCGTGAACGATGCCATCATGACTCACTGTGTCACTCCTTGTAGCGTGCATTCGAAAGAACAACGGATCATGTCACACAAATGAATTCTGAGGCAACTGTTCGACAAATCAGTGGACGCGAAAATCAAAGAGAATGCAATGATGTGTTTTCAGCCAGCTTGTGAGTAGTTTCCTTTATGAAAATATACTGCGGTACCTCGAATATCGTGCCAACTGAATCCTGAGGTAACCTGTGTGCAGCACATTTAGTTGTAGAATATCATAAACGAGAGATTCAGTTGAGTCATTTATTGCTGATCCAACAATTTGGCAAAAATCAAATTCTGCTCAGAGGAATTATCTATTAGCCACACGACCACTGTTGACTAGAAGAACTTCATTCGCGTAGTTCGCGCCTGGTGGCTTTTGCAGACTCCAACGGTTAAGCATACCGAAAACTTTGTGGATCCAACGACTGCAGCTCACACACAAAACATCGAATCTGTTTGGCATGTCTACAAGATGCAGAATAAACGCCAATGCGGCGGAAAGCTACGTGTGTGAGTTCCTTTGGAGGCAAATGCACCGAAAAACGGACCTTTGCATGCAAATTATTAATGACATGTCCCGATTTCACCCTCTTCAATAAAAACCAAAAGTACAAATTTCATATCCTTTTTTCTCTAATTTTTTCGGATGGTGGGGGTTAGTTTTTTGGTGGCGCTCATCTGGAAAAGATCCCGAAACTGTGCAAAATTCAATTCGCTGTCAGGAACATGATCCATTCCAACTCGCCTCCGCTTGTGATGTTCAGATTCAACTAGGAGAATGCCCTCAAGCAAGAGTACTTAATGAGGATGAATTTATGGAAAATTAGCGACCCATCTGAGGGCGCATCGACCCAATCTATTAAACTTTCCAGACACTGCAGAACTTAAAACAACGCCAGACCAATATGTGATTTGGACACCCAGATTCGTTTTCCTTTGTAATGTGGGTTTCTGGAAATCGTCCATAATAAAACTGGACGAATGTCCTAGAAAACCTGCTAGTAGTATTTGGAAGAAAGAGCCACTCAGTCTAGAACAGTCAACCTCAACTGAAGTTGGGAGAACACGCGATCGGAGATAGATGGTCTACCAGGACTACTCAGGTACTACCCAATCGAAGTCCTCCGACTTGTACCTCAATTTCAGATATGGTCATCGCAAACTAAGAGAAACACGTGGGCGTATCGCAACACTCGGGTACTTCATTCATGTAAGTTTAACTGATGAGCCCCATGAAGGGCGAAACCAATCGTGAGCTGTCAAGGAGTTTTCAGCAACCTTATGAGTAGTGCATTACAAAATGTGCTTAACTTCCTTAAAACTAACTTACAACCATTGATAAGACAATAGTTTCAGGAGAACGTTCGTTTCCGGGAGTCTATCATCCTGAACTAGGTGTGCCCCGAAAATTTACTCGCGTCCTTGAAAATTGCCACAGGAAACAAAAGTGGGTAGGCGATCCGACGAACGTTTAAAGAGGGAGGAATTTTACTGCTGCGGAAGCCAATTTGTGGTATAAACCCAGAAAATTCGGCTCCAAAAGGGCAAGTCAGACGGAAGGCAAACACTTCAATGAACGATTGATTGATGTTAGCATTTCCTCCACGTTAACTTTTCTACATTATTGTTTGAATTTGCATTTGAGCAAGACCTTGTGGATTCTGTTTTGCAAATTAGATGAAGTGGTTCCCGTACATTCCCATATTCTCCTAGGACTTCTGGTCCCCGCAAGCCTTTGTGTCCGCATAATGACTATTTGATGCCATTCGCATCGAACAAGCGCGCGCAACCAACAGTATTTTAATATCATGGATGAATGGTCATTTTCGAGTAGATGAGTACATCGCTTGCGCATATTTGAACATGAGCTGGATCAACTCCGATTTTGGAGTTGTGACAATGGTCATTTTCAGAGTACTCATTTTTGGAAGTTGGTTTTTCCCCTCCGAAATGAGTTAACCATTTTTTGACGGTGCCGCAAACTGAAAATACCGTTCCCATACTTCAAGTCTCAATAAAACTTCGAAAATCGTCCGCGAGCAAGGTCATCCAAGGTGATCTGCTTTTCAAGAACAGTCGATCTACATTCCACTTTCACCAGATTTATCAACCCCACTGTCCAGATTCTCCAAAATCTGGTCTACGTGTCAGTGGAGGTCACTTTGAAATTACCGTGACAACGAATGGCGGCAACGTAAACCGTGCAAGCGTTTGGATAATCGGGTGAGTATCATGAAGAAACGTAATCATCTCGGGGATATATAATTGAGAAAAGTTAACAGACCCGAAATTCGACAAATCTATCCATGTGGTTGGTTCTTCTCACACTCATCGGTTGTTTCCTGACTGGGAGTGCATCGTATCTGTGAGTGGTGTCCAATAATCCAAAGACGATTTGTAGACTTTCGGAAGAATCGGATAAACTCAAGCGCGATAAGCGGGCTGTAATCAGAATTCCATTGCATCCATGGGGTGAGGTAAGTACTGACTTGTGTTGCTCCGGTCAAACTGAAAGGTACAATTTTATTGCGCCATCACTATTGAGCAGACTGAGTTTCTAATGTTGCTTGACACTGGTTCACCGTCAATTTGGATTCCCTCGGATCGTGTTGACAGAAGTCTGTGGGTTGAAAAGACCCTACTAAATGTGGCGCAGACATCTTCTCTTCAAATAAGCCGGGAAATATTCTATGAGGAATACGGCACGGGTGAGATTAGTGGGTTAAAGGCAACGGTCGATATGGATGTAAGTTTATTCTTACTGTGTTTTGCATTTATTCCCAAATGTGGTAGCTCGGAGGCATGCTTATCAGAAATGTACCATTTGGTCTGGTGATGGAAGCAACAAGGAGCATCTCTGAGGAACCCGTTGACGGCTATATCGGATTAGGGCGTCCGCCAATCTGTTCAGAAAATACAATCCCTCTTCCCATATTCGTTCGTGAACGAGGATTGATGAGTGGGCAATTTGGCTTCGAATTCCAAGAGTGAGCAGGGTATCACACGTTTTTTTTCATTCCAGTTTATAACAGATAGAAATTGGCTGATTATTCACCGAAGAATCGTCATGCACAGTTTTAATCTGTTTGCGATCGCATTCCACTTTTACCCTGTGCAGCGACGGTGCTACATTTATCATGGGTGACAATCTGGAACAAGTCATACCCACTGGTAGTATGGCCTACGTAAACGTCGTTGATGGGTCTTATTGGGAAATGAGGATTGACCGGTATGCTAGTAACCTTTGTGGCCAAGTTTTTTTTACTTGGCCGACTGACCCTACTAACACTTCACGTCCCGTGTTTGATTCCCTTGTGTAGGATATCCATTTCTAACACGGAAATTAGCACTGAAGATCACAGAGCGATCTTCGATACCGGGACTCACACAATGATACTGCCAGGGGATATTCACATGGCAATCAACCGAAAACTCGGTATTTCGAGGCTGGTAGACGGGGCATATGTATTCGAGTGTGCGAGGCTGCCATCCATGCGACCGATTGCTTTCCACATTCAAGGAAAAAAGTTTCATATTACGCGGACACAATACACGAAACAGGTAGGGTATTCTCATGATGATAGTCGGTTGGTTGATTAACGATTGAGGAGTGAGACTAGGCGTAATTTGATATCTGTGTTGGTGGATTTAATCAACGGATTTTTATAATGCCACGTAACGCTCACATGAGTGAAAGACACCTGATAGAAGGAAAAACTACAGGTATTCAATTGCTGGTTTGGCGCCAGAACAGAGTGGCACAAATTGAGTGGTGTTCGGTGGCAATCAATTTATCTTTACCACAAAATGGTAATGCGGCAAACGGCATGGCGTCAGCGATCGATAGTTTTGTTGAAATTGAAGTTTGTGAATGTGCGTGACTCACCAGTGTGGTGAGGAGCAGGTAGACAAATCGATAGATTGTTCGACATATAAGTAGACAGATTGAGCGAACGTTTGCGCCTTTTCAAAATCTAGTGGTGCGCCTTATTCGATTCCCTTGCTTTGCTAATATTTTCTCTTTCGTACAAATTAATGAACCGCCCTATTTCCACAGACTACCGTGAACGGGGACGCAATGTGTTCTACGCGTTTTCTGAACAACTCTGTCAATACGCCTTTGGGTATTATACTGGGAATGTCATTTCTACGTTCATTCCAACTGATTTTCGATCACCAAGCGAGTAGAGTTGGCTTTGCTCCACGCCATGGAAGGTCCTCGATTGATTGAACGGGACTGGAAGACAACAAAAAAGGACACCAGTAATACAATAAACTCATCACGCACAGTCTCGTGTGTTTTCAATATCATACACGGGGATTGAATCCAATATGTATTAACTGGGTACGCTTTGAAATTATCGGCTGTCCGACAGTGGTACTATTCCACTTTCCGTATGGCTGTCCGACTCTTTCGCGTCCTTATTTGTGTGTATTCGCAATAGGTCAAGTCGATTCGGATCGCGCAGACCCCATGACATAACTTCAATTAAATACTTGGGAAATAGCCTCGGTCGCAATATGAGACCCGCAAACGCATTCCTATTTCGATACGTTTGACTGGCGAGCCTATCGATCGACACGATCAATTAAGATTACTGAGTCATCGTTTGTGGCGTCGGGCGTTTCACCCGGATCACTCATTCGCGAACATGTCCACCCATGCGGACGCTTAAAACGCTCTCAATTCGTCCAGCGCCCGCAGGTAGGGTAGTGATAGCACGTGTGCCTTGCATGTCAGAAGCGCGGAGTCCAAATATCGGTGTGGCACCTCTGGTGAGCTCTAGTGTGATCGACAATCGAGTCGACTGATTCTTCCGTTGGTGTAGACCGGCCAAAGTGATTTCACCAGGATAGGAGGACCATTGTTCAAACGGTAGTCATATGCTTGTTCAGTTTCGAAATCACACGACCGTCAACAACATGAACGCAGTCACAATGTGGGTAGAACATCAAGGGCACGATGATCAACAAGTTCCATTAAACTTGCACATCCAGGGTCCAAATTGTATAGCTCACGTCACGGAAAATGGCACGCTTCCTTCAGCTCGTTTAGAGCCTATTTGTCCACCATCGGTGTGCCATTTGTGCTAGAGTGGAACAGTAGGAAAATTCATTATGGCTCACCTTGGCAGACGTAGGTTCTTCAAGAAACTCGCAAGATGGTGTCGACAACAGATGTATGGTCCATGAAAATTGCAACTGATTGAGATTTCTTTGAGACCACATTGGCTAGCTCGTGGTGATGCATTTCTGATCACTGAGTTCCCTAGATATCCGCCGCAAATCGTCGAGACTCCCGATTACCAGCTCGATCGATGCGTCCTAAAAGACGTAACGAAACCCGATTACAGTCTCTCCGGTGGTTATTTATATCGATTGCCGTTTAAAAGCCAACTGCTTTCTGAGTCGTCCCACACAGTCATGGTAAGGTGTAGTGAAAATCCTTTAGAATTTTGTCTCCATTCAGGGGCAGCGTGGGTATTCGTTCATTTAACCAGTATGGTCGTTGGCTTGTTCGCTGAGCTGGGCAATTTGATTCCATACGTTTCATCACCAATTGAGGTGGCATTACCAGTGTGTTATTGGGGAGCGTAGTTGTGCGTAGCGGGGGGTTTGTGGTTGTGCGCGCATGGTTAGATCGTCCGCAGTGGTGCGACTGATCAGAGGTGATTTGAACTGTTCTTCGGGGCTAGCATTTGAATCGCAGCAAACAAGCGACAGTTGTCATGGACGTCATAAACCAGACAAAGGCTTCGAGCTTAGATAGCACGTGCGGAATGCGATAGAGCCGAATTGCTCGCCAACGCGATGAACACAATCTTCAAAAGACATGATATTTGCAAAGAACCAGAAGAGCAATACATATTGGAAAATCAGATTTCGCTACTCGGTCACCCTTTGTTTCTATGTATTGTCCAAGGTGTGCAATACAACCCGTTTCCTCACTTCGTGTAACTTGAAATTACCAACTTGCGGGTGAACTTCGAATGCTCAGGCAGCCATTCAAAGCAATCCTTCGACGTAAATATCGAGGAAGTCGAAAATATCGCGACTATGTGATATGCGCTTATTGATCACAGCTGTGGAACCCAATTCAGCTAGGGTAATTGTCGGTAAACTGTGGGGTTGACATATGTAAAGAAGACACCGGCGGGTCCCTCAAACTCTTCCTGACCACATATCAGACGCGCTTCCGATGAAGTCCGCGCAAGAATATCTATCTATCTATCTATCTATCTATCTATCTATCTATCTATCTATCTATCTATCTATCTATCTATCTATCTATCTATCTATCTATCTATCTATCTATCTATCTATCTATCTATCTATCTATCTATCTATCTATCTATCTATCTATCTATCTATCTATCTATCTATCTATCTATCTATCTATCTATCTATCTATCTATCTATCTATCTATCTATCTATCTATCTATCTATCTATCTATCTATCTATCTATCTATCTATCTATCTATCTATCTATCTATCTATCTATCTATCTATCTATCTATCTATCTATCTATCTATCTATCTATCTATCTATCTATCTATCTATCTATCTATCTATCTATCTATCTATCTATCTATCTATCTATCTATCTATCTATCTATCTATCTATCTATCTATCTATCTATCTATCTATCTATCTATCTATCTATCTATCTATCTATCTATCTATCTATCTATCTATCTATCTATCTATCTATCTATCTATCTATCTATCTATCTATCTATCTATCTATCTATCTATCTATCTATCTATCTATCTATCTATCTATCTATCTATCTATCTATCTATCTATCTATCTATCTATCTATCTATCTATCTATCTATCTATCTATCTATCTATCTATCTATCTATCTATCTATCTATCTATCTATCTATCTATCTATCTATCTATCTATCTATCTATCTATCTATCTATCTATCTATCTATCTATCTATCTATCTATCTATCTATCTATCTATCTATCTATCTATCTATCTATCTATCTATCTATCTATCTATCTATCTATCTATCTATCTATCTATCTATCTATCTATCTATCTATCTATCTATCTATCTATCTATCTATCTATCTATCTATCTATCTATCTATCTATCTATCTATCTATCTATCTATCTATCTATCTATCTATCTATCTATCTATCTATCTATCTATCTATCTATCTATCTATCTATCTATCTATCTATCTATCTATCTATCTATCTATCTATCTATCTATCTATCTATCTATCTATCTATCTATCTATCTATCTATCTATCTATCTATCTATCTATCTATCTATCTATCTATCTATCTATCTATCTATCTATCTATCTATCTATCTATCTATCTATCTATCTATCTATCTATCTATCTATCTATCTATCTATCTATCTATCTATCTATCTATCTATCTATCTATCTATCTATCTATCTATCTATCTATCTATCTATCTATCTATCTATCTATCTATCTATCTATCTATCTATCTATCTATCTATCTATCTATCTATCTATCTATCTATCTATCTATCTATCTATCTATCTATCTATCTATCTATCTATCTATCTATCTATCTATCTATCTATCTATCTATCTATCTATCTATCTATCTATCTATCTATCTATCTATCTATCTATCTATCTATCTATCTATCTATCTATCTATCTATCTATCTATCTATCTATCTATCTATCTATCTATCTATCTATCTATCTATCTATCTATCTATCTATCTATCTATCTATCTATCTATCTATCTATCTATCTATCTATCTATCTATCTATCTATCTATCTATCTATCTATCTATCTATCTATCTATCTATCTATCTATCTATCTATCTATCTATCTATCTATCTATCTATCTATCTATCTATCTATCTATCTATCTATCTATCTATCTATCTATCTATCTATCTATCTATCTATCTATCTTTCTATCTATCATGATTATCATCAGATGTGTTGTGCATCGCGTGTTGGTGTCAAGAAGCTGGTCGAAAGCACATGTAAGTACGGTGTATTTATGTTCTGTGTGGAGAAAAAACTGCAAGTTAAGTCGTCTTCTGGACGCAGCATTGGAAACTGTTCTTCGGGATTACTGGGTCATGTTTGGTTGTTGGGTCCACGCTCGCCTTAATGTTGGGTCGTCAAGTGGCCGAATTTTTATGGCATTTCGCGTGCGGGCTAGGGTTATTGGCGTTACTGCGAGAAGTGAAGCGAGTTCGGAGCGGGATTCTGCCTAATGAAATATCATTCCCAGGTTCTGCAACAACAATGCGGATAGGGTCGGTTTTGCGGTCCTCCACTGTTCGAAGATGACAGAAAAGCATCACAGCTGTGCACGTCAACCTAAGAACCTTCATTATGTCTGCCAATAAAGCATGCTTATTCAGAATCATACCCACGCCGGTGCCACCCACCTCAGTGGCTGCGACACTACCCATACTAGTTGCACGCAGCATTTAAATAGAGCATTGTGGGCTGGTTTCAACAGCTGTATCGCGCATTAGAGTCTCAGAGTTGTCAGTGGCGCGATACCTGAAAAAATTACCATCGGAGGAGGGGAAATTTGATACCATTTCCTCTCATAACCAAAGTAAAAGTTTTCTGAGAAGGAAAGCACAGTGTAGTCAAGTGTTAGGTCACCAAATTAAATTGGACTTAGGCAAACCCCTTCCACCATGAAAATTGATAGCGTTATCGTGAACCCCATCTGCTTTATGTAATCATGGTTTCCGTTCTAGACTATCTGGACAATGAGTTAGCCGGGTAAAGCTTGGAAAATTTTTCAGACATCAGTGATATGTTCTGACAATTGTGTACTATGTGCTATTGTAGAGCCTGAGCAAAACTAGGATGGGCAAAAAAAAATCAGCGGCGTTCCAGGTGAGTGCCCCGTCAAAATCAAACTGGTACACATATAAGTGTATTTCGCTAATTTCGTGCAATTTAGGTTAAAATAGAACAGAAAGTTGACGAAAACCCCGGGAATGCGTCCACCTGATGGGCTCCAAGAAGGGCGAAACCGATTGTGGGCTGTCAACCCCATGGTTAGTGTATTACGTCTATACAATACGTCGCAGTATATCGAATATCGTGCTAACTGAAACACGAGATGGCCTGCTGCAGCCAATTCGGTTAGAGCGGACCATCAGAAACGAGCTTTTTACCCGGGTTCCATGTGGGTCTACCGTCAAAACCGAATTGTGTGCAAATGCGGA